GTCTTGTCTTTCCTTTCTGGTATGGGGAGATGACTCCATGTCTGGGCCAGAACCAGCTGGAGGCTCATTACTCATGCTTCCACACTGACGTGGATGACCACATAAGCTGCCCCAAGTACTTACATGTGGCCTCTCTTAACAGTCTGGGCTTCCTTACAGCATGGTGGTCTCAGGGTTGTCAGATTTGTTACATGGCAGCTCAGGGCTGCAAACACTCATATTTCAAGCAATATGGCAAATGTATTTGCTAATATAGCTTTGGAAATCACAGTTATCTCTCTTGGAGTTGTCAGTCAAACATGAGTCCAGCCCAAATCATGGGGAGGTACATTGATCTGTATCACACAATTGATAGAGTGAAAAAGAATTTGTGGACAGTTTTTTTTTTTAACTTTTTAAAAAATATTTTTTAGTTGTTGATGGACCTTTATTTTATTTATTTGTATGTGGTGCTGAGAATCGAACTGAGTGCCTCACACATGCTAGGCAAGTACGCTGCCACTGAGCCACAACCTCAGCCCTGTGGCAGTTTTTAAATCACCAGAGGAGGGAATCTGGAAATGAACTCACCCTTCCTTTGAGAAATAAAGACAGTCCCAGAAAGTGTCCAGAATGTTTTCAAGGCAAACCCAACAGGTGGGAGAGGATGATGGGAAGAAGGGCTTTGGACTCAACATCCAGCTGTGGTCATTCTATGAACTGAACCTTGGTCAGAGAAGCAGGTTGTGTCTGCTAGCTAGTGCCATAATTACATGACTAGCAAACTTCTAGTGCCGTGTATTACAACAGCCATTCTTGCCACTCATGTCAGTGGGCTGTGGGCAATTGATGAAGGCTGGTCTCAGGTCTGTGACTGGAGCCATTGAGACAACTATAAACATGGTGATGCCAGTTTTTTTTTGAAGACAGGCAGAGATTGGAATGATGTTGCTATAAGTCAAGGAATGCCAACAGTCACCATTAGCTGTGGCCCTACATGGAAAACCGGATGGCCTGTTGAGGGTCATCTTTTCAGGGGATCCTCCTCGCTAAATGGGGAACTTCAGAGTTCCTGCTTCCTTTTCTTCTACTGCCAGGTTCTCTCCTCCATTAGATCTCAAGAGACACGAGCGTTCTAGAATTAGGTGCAGTAAGCTAATGATGTCATCAGGAACCTCGACTCTTTCCATCCGTAGGCTCTTCCATGCCTGTGTGCTAGATAATCTTCTAGTTTCTTACTTCATGGTTTCAAGATAGGTCTCCAGTTATCATAACTTCTGACCACTGCATTCAAGGAAAGAAAAAAAGACCTCTTTCATACTTCTTGAAGACTGTAGTGTATCCGTGTTTCAAGATTTATTCAACCAGTGCATTCTTGATGGATATTTTGGTTATTTACAATATTGGATTACAGTGAACATTATGAATATATAATTTGCTTGAATTTATAGATCAGAAGATAAGTCCATTTGGGATTTTGTTGAATATTGCCTAATTGCATTTTTATCGTCTAATATAGCTCAGTGGTAGAGCACTTGCCTAGTATGTGTGAGGGCCTGGGGATGATGTTCAATTCCTATCACTGCAATTAAAAAAAATTCAAAGTAAATAACTAATTCATCAACTATATATGCAGGGTTCTTCTAGATTTCTCATTGTTTCTCCTTTTTATATTCATGCTTTCCTTTAAATTCACAAGTATGTTTGTATATATTTATTTTTGGTGCCAAGAATTCAACCCAGGGCCTCACTCATGCTAGACAAGTGCTCTACCACTAGGCTGTACCCTTGGCCCCCAAGTGTGCACATTTATAATAGCTATTTTAAATTTTTTATCTGTAGCCAGGCATGGTGGTGCATGCCTGTAAATTCCGGCAACTGTGAGGCTGAATCAGGAAGATTGCAAGTTTGAGGTCAGACTCAGCAAGTTAGACCTTGTCTTTTTTTTAAAGACCCTGTCTCAAAATAAAAAGTAAATAGGGCTAGGGATGTAGCTCAGTGGTAGAATGCCCTGGGTTCAATCCCAAGTACTGCAGAAAAATAAAATGAAATAATAATAAAAAAAGAAATTTTATCTGAGTTTCATCATCTACCTTTCTGCATCTGCAGGTGTGGGTTTTACAAGTGGTTTGAAAATTTAGGAGATGCCAGACTCAGTGACAGGAGGCTGAGGCAGGAAAATCGCAAGTTTCAGGCCGATCTCAGCAACTTTGTGAGATTCTATCTCAAAAAATAAAAAAAATACTGGAGTTGTAACTCAGTAGTAAAGTGCCCTTTGGTTTAATCTCTAGTACCACATTGTACACACACACACAGAAAGAAAAAGTAAAAAGCAGGGGGGAACCATAGGAGTTTTCAATGATTGAGGATAAGATTAGGGAGTTTAGCTTGAAGTGCATTAATGGATTATTTTGTCTTTTTAAGAGTGTTCAGCTTGGTAGGGTGATTCATGCCTGTAATCCCAATGACTTGGGAGGCTGAGGCAGGAAGATTACATGCTGGAGGCCAGCTTCAGCAACTGAGACTCAGTGGTTAAGGGCTCCTGGGTTCAATCTCCAGTACCAAAAACTAAAACAAACAAAAACAAAAGATGAAATACCTAGAAAAATAAATGATTTTTCAATTTGGTTTCATTTCATTGAAAGAATAATGAATGAGCAGCTGGGGTTGTGGCTCAGTGGTAGAGCACTTGCCTGGCATGTGTGAGGCACTCAGTTCAATTCTCAGCACGCATATAAATAAAATAAAATGTTCATCAACAACTGAAAAAAAACATGAATGAGTAGAGTTTTGAAATATCTTCTGAGTAAAGATATGGAGTAGATAATGAGGTTTTATGAAAACAGATGAAATACACACCAGATGTGGTGGTGCTTGCTGGTAACAGCAGCTTTTTGGGAGACTGAGGGAGGAGAATTGCAAGTTGGGGGTTGGCCTGGGCAATTTAGCGAGATCCTGTCTCAAAAATAAAAAAATATAAAAAATAAAAATGGCTGGGGAAAAAGCTCAGTGGTAGAGCACCCCTGGATTCAATCCCCACTACTACAAAAAGGAAAAATAAAAAATGAAATAAAAAAATATGTGTGTGTATAAAATGGTTTGGAACTTTAGAATTTTAGAGAGTTTTATTTATTTGTTTTTTGGTGCTGGGGAATGAACCAACAGACACTTTACCACTGAGCTATATCCCCAGTCCTTTTGCATTTTTTATTTTTGAAACAGGTCTTTTACTAAATTGCTGATGGGTCTTATTAAGTCATTGAGCTGGCTTTGAACTTGTGATCCTACTGCTTCAGTCTCCTGAGTGGCTGGGTTTTATAGGCATGTGCCACTGTGCCCATTTCCAATAACAGATTTTTATATTGTGGAGAATGAAGGTGTTTTGAAATTAATCCAACCATGCCAAATTTATTGAACACTGACACCATGTCCTGGGCACTTTGATTCATGCCTAGTGTGAAGACAAATGTATGCACTGAGAGTTATAATGTAATGAATGCAAAGGAGAAGAATGTGGAGACTTCTATGAAAGCTCTAAGTGCCCAGCTCTGCCTCAAGTGTGAGTAGTGCGTGTGTATGTCTCAAGACAGGCTTTAGCAAGAAGGTGTCACATTACTTTGATCTAAATCTAAAGGAGAATTGCTGTCTTGAAGGGTAGATGTGCAGACAGACGTAAATAAAGAGAGCATCATGCTAAGTTCCTATATTTGGCTTTTATGCTTATTTGTAAATTATTTGCATAAGGATTTATTTAACATTGGGAAATTCCAAGATAATTTTTCCCAAGTAGAAAATATGGAGTATTACTTAAAAGTGATGATTCTTTCAAATGCCTTTTTTTGACTTATGTTTACATATTATGTGCTAGACCAAGTAGTGGATGGTGGATTGAATATCTATATAATAATAAGGTCATTTTAGTTTGTGGTCCTGAGGATCTGTTGTTGAGTGTGTGTGTGTTTTGAGTTAATATATACAGGCCAGCAGTTGATGGATTGATTTCATATTATATAAATTATAAGTTGGCAAAAAATAAAGTCATATGGAAGAAAATCTTATATGTCAGTAAAATGTTTTTCATAATATGTGTTAAAATTGGAATCAAATATTATTTATGATATCATTATGCACTTCATGGTTTAGTTAGAATGTTTGGTATTTTACCTTAATCCCTTTTTGGATGCAGGGATAAAATAAATATAGTATCATTTAGTCTTTGGGAACTTTGGAATGGCTTTAAGTAACCTCTTTTTCAAATATAAGTGAACTAATGACTATTATTTGGAGGAAGTTTAAAGGAATATCCATCCATGTAATAAAAGACAAATTGAGAAGAGAGGCAACATGTAGGTAACTGAGTAGAAAGTCATTAAGTTGTCTTTGTGATATAATGATACTTTAGATCAAAGGATAATATACTTAGCATATAGAATGTAAGATCACCTGTTCAGGAAATGGGCGTCTTTTTTAGTTAAAAATCCCTGCCAAGATATGTTTTAAAAACATGCATAGTTTTTTATTTCTGAGGCAGTTCTTGAGCTTTAGGTTTAATGACTATGCCTATAAAATTATATTTTTGTAATGAATATTTTATATCCTTGTCATTGGTTCTTGAATTTTAATTGGTGACAGAATGCATTACTTTGGTCACATGTGTACAGTTTAGGGGTCTATACTTTCCTTTTTTGGGAAAAATGGTCGGCACTCTTTCTATGAATTATCTTGGCCATTATGTCTGCTCAGTGTTTCTTGAGTAAGTAACAGTACTTAAATCTTTGTGTAATAAGCTCTTTTGTGTAATACGTTAAATAACTGAAGTGTTAATTAACTAACATGGAGATATTAAGGATCTTTATATTTTTCAAGGGGAAAATTTCTTAATGGAATTTTATAATAATGATTTTAAAAACAAGTTATGGATTTGACAATGGAAAGTTTTCTTCCTGAGATTTAAAAATTGAAAAAAACAAAACAAAACCCAAAATACTTTGTGGTTAAAGTTTGCTTTTCTTCTTTTGTAGGTATGGCCTCACAAGTCTTGGTCTACCCACCATATGTTTATCAAACTCAGTCAAGTGCCTTTTGTAGTGTGAAGAAACTCAAGGTAGAGCCAAGCAGTTGTGTTTTCCAGGAAAGAAGCTATCCACGGACCTATGTGAATGGTAGAAACTTTGGAAATTCTCATCCTCCCACAAAGGGTAGTGCTTTTCAGACAAAGATACCATTTAATAGACCCCGAGGACAGAACTTTTCATTGCAGACTAGTGTTGTTTTAAAAAATACTGCAGGTGCTACAAAGGTTATAGCAGCTCAAGCTCAGCAAGCTCGAGCAGAGGCACCTCAGATTGGGGCGTGGCGAAACAGGTTACATTTCCTAGAAGGCCCCCAGCGATGTGGATTGAAGCGCAAGAGTGAGGAGTTGGATAATCACAGCAGCGCAATGCAGATTGTCGATGAATTGTCCATACTTCCTGCAATGTTGCAAACCAACATGGGAAATCCGGTGACAGTTGTGACAACGACCACAGGATCAAAACAGAATTGTACCACTGGAGAAGGTGACTATCAATTAGTACAGCATGAAGTCTTATGCTCCATGAAAAATACGTATGAAGTCCTTGATTTTCTTGGCCGAGGCACTTTTGGCCAGGTAGTTAAATGCTGGAAAAGAGGGACAAATGAAATTGTAGCAATTAAAATTTTGAAGAATCACCCTTCTTATGCACGTCAAGGTCAAATAGAAGTGAGCATATTAGCAAGGCTCAGTACTGAAAATGCTGATGAATATAACTTTGTACGAGCTTATGAATGCTTTCAGCACCGTAACCATACTTGCTTAGTCTTTGAGATGCTGGAACAAAATTTGTATGACTTTCTGAAACAAAATAAATTCAGTCCTCTGCCACTAAAAGTGATTCGGCCCATTCTTCAACAAGTGGCCACTGCACTGAAAAAATTGAAAAGTCTTGGTTTAATTCATGCTGACCTCAAACCAGAGAATATTATGTTGGTGGATCCTGTTCGGCAGCCATACAAGGTTAAAGTAATAGACTTTGGGTCAGCCAGTCATGTTTCAAAGACTGTTTGTTCAACATATCTACAATCTCGGTACTACAGGTAGGTGACAATGTTGAATTTCTGCTAAGTGAAGTTTTTGAATGTATTTGGAAGGAAATCAAGACAAGATTAGTTAAGGTTTGAGGTTTTAAAGATAACTGAAAAATTGAGACATAAAATCTGCCTGAGGAGAATAGAAAAATCTCTATGAGTTCCATGCTCAAGATATATGGCTATTTTCATTATAGCCAGAAATGATATGCGATTAATGATGATCAAATAGAAGACTTTAAATGTTAAAGTAATTTTTGTATCTATCTTTGGATATTTCAGCCTTGAGAATAGTTTAAAGCTATAACCACATTTAACTGAACATTTAGAAAAATTAAAAGAATTCAAATAGTTATTCTGATTAATGATTTTAAGATTAGAATACTCTTCCATGGCTATCTTGAATTTTTTTTCTACACATATGCTACGAGTAATGCTATTTTGGTGGTGGTGCCGTTGGGGGGAAATTTGAAGAAGAAAACAATTTCCATGTAAATATTAACAAAGGCTCCAATGTCATGAATAATGTAACACTAGCTTGAGGTAAAATAGTCCAAGGGGCTAAGAGTTACCAGGATTCAGAATGCCAAGAATTCCTTCATGAGTGTGAAAATGTTTTTTAATTCATAGTTTCATGTTTTGAGAATAAGTTATTTTCATTTTGGCCTAAACATATTTATGGTCTTGGTGTGCTCTAGAGCCCCATGATCTCCAGTACAATGGGGCAGATATAGAAGCAATATTGGTGACAATATTGGCCATTCAAAAGTTACTACATAAACAAACACACGAAGCTTATTTTGGCCCAACAAGGGGTATTTTCTGGTATTGCACCTGCCTTTATACTCTTTCTGATTATCTTGATTAGCCTTCTTGCAGGTATATGCTTTACTACCCAGGGCAGAGTAAAGAAGAAATTAATTAGCTGCTACAAAAGTAAACTCTAATGTCCTTCTGTCAGTAGTTTATCATTTAACTTAGTGACAATTAAGTTTATTAAAATATGTATTAGGAATTAGCAATATAGCCTCGTCTATAGTTAGTATATTCTGTATTATGTGGTTTTTAGTATTAGAGTGCTAGACATCATTCTTAAAACTTTTTAGGTAGTTTAAAAGGTAATTCACTGTTGTGGCATTGTAACCCTCATTTAATTTCATGTGATTAGATTTGCTTGATCTATGATGCTCCTGATAATTTGTTTTCAACTTAATAAGACATAAGATTAACTTTTAGTTAGTTTTTTTTTCTGGAAAAATTATCATAAATCATATTTAATAGCATGAAATTAGTGCTTTATTTTTTTTCCCCTTTCCCTTTGCCACTATGGAGTGTGTCTTAAGAGCTTTTAGCAGTAAACCAGCATGTTATATAAACTCCAGCTGCTTGAGTCCTATATTTAGTTCACTTGTTAGTAAATGACTTCACTTTATTTGGATCCTACTTTGTTCTCCATGTCAGATTTAATGCCGTTATACCTAGTGTGTTTTTCTGTGCTTGAAGTCTTTTGATGAGAGTTAAAAAAAAAAGCCTAATTTATTTTTTATACTTGAGAATGTCTGTTGGTTTGTTAGATGTTTCAAGAGAGTAAAGAAAATCCTTTAAAAAGCAAAAAGCTAAATATTTTATGATACCAGTTTCTAGCATTAGGACTTTGCACAACTATTAGCTTCTGTGTTGAGGATGAAAAAAAGCTATGAATAATTGCTAAGTACAATTAGCTGTTTCTAGTTTATGTTTATATATAAATTTCAGTTAAATTATTTACCAAACTTTGAGAAGCTAGACAATAGCTATTCTACACTACAGGTCCTATGTTTATAATTTAAAAAAAAAGTAAGGTTTGTATTTGTAAACAAAGACTAGTGCTAACATTTTGGTTGATGTTGCTCAGATGAAAAATTGAAAATAAACTTACTTGAGATCTGAGAGTTTTCTATTAAGGTAGATTGGTGAAAATGTGTGGTCCTTAATAGGATTGTTTTGATGTCTTATGTAATTTTGTGTGGAAATGGAGAATAACTATTACTTTCTTTAAATATTTGCTTGCACTATGTTTGGAATCTTGCCATTTCTCTCATAGCTTATGACTAAGTTACTTACAAATCTTATTGGATAATAAGCAAGAGTGTCTTATACTTGATTTTTCACTAGAGCTTTTTGGTTATACATAGTAGTTGAGTTCACTTTTTATTAAAAAGACGTTGTAATTTTAAATGAAAACAGGAAATGTGTCAAATTAAATATTTCCAAGCTAAGCATGTTAGAAACACACATGCTCTGATTTCCAAGGTAAATGATTTGTGTTTAAGCACACATTATGTGTTATTCTATTTCTTTGAACTGTGCAACACAAATGTAGTAGGGATATCTTAAAATAGACAGGGGACAGTGGCCAGAAATTGTTGACTACTATAGATGGTGAGGCTGTCTAGCTCTTGCAGTGATAGAAGCCAGAAGTACATGCTAAGGGCATTGATTTGCTCAAGGTCAGCATGTTCTGAATTCAGCTGCTTGAGCATGGTTTCTGTCAAGAACACATAGGCTCTTGAATACATAAAAGGTTTTAGCAGCAGAAGGTGGTGTATTTATGAGGTGTGGTGGCAACATTCAGGTCATGAATTTCTTTCTTTCTTTTTTAAATATAGAATTTAGCCTGTGGTTTTGAGTCATTTTCAGAGCACAGAGACAAGAAAGTGGGCTATAAAGGAACCTGTGTGGCAGTTAGATTCTATGCTGCATTACAAATTTAGCATTAATTGCTAATTGAATGAAAAAGTGCTTCTAGGGATTGGGGTATAAATCAGTGGTACAGTGCTTGCCTAGCATGGGCAAGGCCCTGGATTTGATCCCCTGCAACTTCAGGGGAAAACAAAAACAAAAACAAAAAAAAAATTTCTATTATAATAGTTACAAAAAGGTATGGAGTGGTAAAAACATTAATTTATACTTGCCAGTTCTTATTTAGGACATACCCATTTCTCATTTTTTTTTTAGACCCTAGTGTGTCAAAGACGTTCCTGTAACAAAATTAAGATACATAGAAAGACCCATAAAACAATATTTTATGTAGGGTACTTTAATAGTAGAATACTATGTATGCATACTTCTTCATTTTTTCAAAGTGCTTTCCCTTAAATTTCTTAACTTTACTTCTAACTTCTCATTTTCATAAGTTAAATATTTTAAGAAGAAGCTTTATCCTTAAAATCATAATTATAACATATTACATGCACAAATTAATAAGTTTCACTATGACTTTTTTTTTTGTCGTGCTGGGGATTGAATCCAGGGCCTTGCGCATGAAAGGCAAGCACTCTACCAACTGAGCTATATCCCTAGCCCCATACATTTTCATACATGCATATATTGTGCTTTGGTAAACAGCTTTTTAAGTTTTTAAAATTTATTGTACATGATAGTAGAATGTATTTTGACATATGTATGTGTGTGTGTGTGTGTGTGTGTGTGTGTATGGAGTATATTTCCCATTCTTATGGTTGTACATGATGTAGAATTTCATTGGTCATGTAATCGTATATACACACAGGATAGTAACGTCTGATTCATTCTACTACAGTCTTCTGATATGGAACAGTTCCTTGTCTTTCTTCGCCTTTGTGACCCTGACACTTCTAAAGAGTGCTGGCCATTTATTTTGTAGACTATTCCTCAGTTTGGGTTGTCTGTTTCTCATGATTAGATTGAGACTGTGCTTTTTGGGCTAGATCTCATAGAAGTGACGTTTGGTTAGCATAAATCCCAACATAAACAGAGCCAGTCTACATTAAGTTATGTGATGGTGTCAATTAAAAAAAATATGAAATGCTTTATGAATTTGCATGTCATCCTTGCACAGGAGCCATACTAATCTTTTCTATATTGTTCAAATTTTAGTACACATGCTGCAGACGGCAGCATGCTCTTGTTACTTTTGTTGGAGAATGGTTATTTAGAAAAAGATCTGGATGCTAATGCCAAGTATGCTTGTAGTATTGGGTATGACTGCATTTTCAGCCCCTTTGAGTTGTAAAGCTAGAAAATGCATGTGTGTTTGTTGATGTATGTATGTATTTATTTATCTGTGTATTAAAACCATGAATTAATGTTTGATATGTCCAAATCTGACACCTCAGAATTCATTCTTTCTTCGTTTTGCATAATCTCTTCTCTGACGCTGAGAAGCAGGCTCTCATTATCCACAGTGTTTTTTGTTCAATTCTAGAATACATTTAAAGTAGTTTGGAGTTGTTCACCCTTATTATTTACTATACAAGTATAACATTTATAATTTCTTTTATTCTTTGGTGTTAGATTTGGAGTATGAAGTAAAAATACTGTGTTCCATAATTGCTCAGCTTAGCTTCTTTCTAAATGTCCTCTCTACTACCTTCATTCCCATGTTATTTATTTGAAATACAGTTAGGTCCATTTGTTTCTGGTTGAATACCATTTTGAGTCCCTTTGTGTCCTTGTTGGTGGTTGATTCATCAATAACATGGTTCTAAAAAATCAGAACTATACAAAAAGTTTGTCTCTCACATTTGTCCCTACTCTCCCCATCCCTTCCACTTTATTCCCATCCAGCTGTTTTGATAACCATTACATTCTGACTTTGTGTGTGTTTTGGTACAAATAAGCAGATAAATGTATTATTTTTAAAAATTATTTTTCTTTCAAGAAAGATAATGTATTATAGATACATGTTTACACTTGACTATACTTAACCATGTTTGCTGGAAGTTATTTCATGTCAGTTGATAGAGCTCATTCTAATTCTATTTTTTACCTCTGAATAGTACTTTTTGTGTAGATTATGATATTTATATGTATGTATTTATATATGTAGATATGATATTTATTTAGCCACTTTCCTAACATCAACTTAGTTTTTTTGCAATTGCAAACAATGTGCAAGAATAAGTTTTTGTATAAATGTACTTTTTTCCCTTCTCTTTCTTTTGGATAGTAGCTAGTCTAATAGATGTGAAGGGATATGTTGTTGTGGTTTTGGTTTGCATTTTCCTGATCATAGTGAGGTTGACCATCTTTTTATAAGCTTGTGGGCCACTTGAATATCATCTTTGGAGAAAAGTCTTTTGCCCATTTTTTAAACAGGTTATTTGATTTTTTTTTTTGTTGGTGTTTTGTTGGAGTTCTTTATGTATTCTGAATATGGACTCCTTATCAGATACAGGATTTGTAAATATTTTCTCTGTTCCATAGGTTGCCTTTATAGTCTTTAAAAGGTTTTTTTTTTTTTTCAAATGTGACTTTTAAAATTTGTTAGTCCCATTTTTAAAAAATAAATATTTATTTTTTAGTTATAGGTGCACACAATATATTTATTTTATTTTTATGTGGTGCTAAGGATCAAATCCAGTGTTTCATGCATGCTAGGTGAGTGCTCTACCACTGAGCCACAACCCTGGTCCCAATATAGTCCCATTTTTCTATTTATGCTTTTGTTTCTTCTGCTTTTGGTGTCTCATAAAAGAAATAATTGCTAAGCCAATGTTATGAATCTTTCTCTCTTTAGTTTTTTTTTTGTTGCTTTAAAATTTTCTTTTTATAACTTTACTTATTTTTTAATGTGGTGCTGAGGATCTAACTCAGTGCCTCACTGGGCTAGGTAAGCACTCCACCACTGAGCTACAGCCCCAGTGCCAGTTTTTTTTTTTTTTTTTTTTTTAAATATGGTGTGAGATAAGGCTTCAACTTAATTCTTTCACCTCTGAATATGCCACTTTCCAAACACCATCTGAAAAAACTGTCCTTTCCCCGTTGAGTAGTCTTGGCACACTTGTCAAAGATTATTTATCCATATATGCAATGATTTATTTCTGGTCTCTTTATTCTATTCTTTTGGTCTATTTGTTTATCTTTATTTATAGTATCATACTGTTCTGATTACTTTAGTTTTATAATATACTTTGAAATTGGGAAGTTTGAGTGCTCCAAAACCTTTCTTTCCTTTTCAAAATTGTTTTGGCCATTCAGGGTTCCTTGATGTTTTCTTTAATATCTTCATCTCCTTCCCCCCTAAAGCTTGATCTTACAGTTAAGAACTTTAATGGTAATACTAGCGTTACTATATGTCAGAATTTAAGAATGTAGATTGACTAATGAATGTGGTCAATAAGTAGTATGTCTATGTTATTATTTATCTTCCCTTTTCAGCTTTGTAGTACAGTTTTTCCCCGAGCTTCCCTTGGCTAATAATACTTTAAAGATGCTTTATGCATGTTTCAAAGGAGGAGCAAGAAACCATCTCTTTCAGCCTTCAAGGTTTATCTTAGATATTATCTCCTTGATGAAATCTTTCCTGGCTCCTGTGTCACTGTGCTGGGCTATACCTGTACCTAGCACAGTAGTGTATTTGCATGTGGAATAGGTATACACTGAGCCATAATGGAGTGCTTGTCCTTCCTGTGAATGACTGGAATGTGGACTCACAGATTTTAAAACTGGAAAGAACTTGTGATGTTTTCTAATGTAACTCCCTATTAAGGCATGGATTATTTTTATAGAAACCAACACTATTTGTCCAACCTCACCTTGAACTCTTTTCAGTAATTACAAGTGGCATCCTTCCAAAACTGAGTCCTGCTTCTATCCATGGGTCTGTAAGGTATGTGGGATAAGTATGATAGATCTTTTTTGATGTTAGTTTTATAGGATTTCGATTTTGAAGAAATACTTTTTTTTGATGAAACATATTATGGAATCAAACATAAAAGTTCACAGGCCCCCTTATATCTCTAGACCTTTCTAGAGGGGTTATGAGCTTAGTCTTCATTTAGTTATTTTTTTTTTTTAAGGCTCTTTCAGTGGGAAAGCTTAAGAATTATATTAAGTAACCCATTTTGTTTTCATTGTTTAAAATTTCCCTTTTAGTAGCCATAAAACGAACATATCCCCAGTTTCCTTAACATAAAATAAGCTGGTTAACGTAGATTGGATGTATATATTTTATTTGGGAAAACATAAATGTATCTCATTGAAAAATCTGAAAGTATTATAACCTTGCTTAGAATGTTATCTTGAGTTCTGTGCCATGAAATATATTTTAGACAAGACCTCTGCAGTTCAGTGCTTAAGGGACTACATCCATAGAAAGAAGGAGAGACCTCTCAGCATCACCAGTTGCTGTGTGCATGCGGAGGACCAAGCTAGCTCTCAATAAATACCTCTTTGCTGCTTACATCCATCTTGGTCTCTGGTGGTCTTTTGGGGGTCCCGAATTCGAGCATAACATATGGGGACTTGTCCGAGATCCCTCTTATAAGCCTACCCAGATGCCCAGATCGAGAGATGATGAAAACCGGCCAAAGCACCCATCCCCAGATGACTTTACAACCTGTTCTTCCCCAACCCGACTTCAAACTGAACTGACTTCTAAAAGGGAACTCATGTCCCCCACGTCGTCGACCCTCACGTTCTATGTCCCCTCTCAGCTCTGAAGCAGCCAGAACGAGCCATCGCCCCTTCTCCTTACAGCAATAAGGTGTTCTTAAAATTAGAGGGTAGAATGAAGCCAGAAATAGATAGACAGTGTAGAGAGGCAAATTGAGTCAGGTTGGATCTAGGAGGCCAATTTTGAGTGAGTCTGGGAAGCTGAAGACTGTCTCTTGAGGGTTACTGTTTACTCTACCAAGATGTAGAGTCTGCCCAAATAGACCCCCAACTGAGGGAACCATGATTGGTTCCCAAGTTTCCAGACAAAGGGGGGGAATGAAAAACCAGCCTCTACCTCAGAGCAAAGCCTGTCCAAGGAAGGGGGCGTGACCCTTGTCCTTGGAAAGACCCACAGAGTACTCCTAGGCACATACCCACCCTGCTGAGTTTTTATCTACAAATAACAGGAGAGATCTGTAGAGCCAGGTGTCCCTGACTCAGGCTAGGTGAGGACCCATAGCAACCCCCTAGCAACCACCAATCAGCATGAGACAGGGAAAATACCTGGGTTGCCAGATGACCCCCATAGTTTATGGTGGTTGATAACATGTTGGGAAACCATGTAGTTCAGCACGTACTCCCCTCGTGGCTTAAACCAATCAGTTCAAACGAATCCCCCTCTTGTACTAACCAATCACCCTTATCCAACTTGTTCCCACCAGTGAATGTGCTAATCATGTTTTAGAGTTGTTTTATGATTTTCCTGCCGTGTGTGATGATTTGCTAAGAGATGCTGTGATGTATGTGAAGTCCCTGCCTTCCCCAAAGAGTGTATAAAACTGCTGCAAACCCTGGGCTTGGGGCCTTTCAGCGTCACCAGTTGCTGTGTACATGCAGAGGACCAAACTAGCTTGCAATAAACACCTCTTTGCGGCTTAAAAAAAAAAAAAAAAAATGGAGAAAGAAAAGAATTACCACTGCTCTGCCATGTACTAAATTCTGTCTGTTAGGGAATAGCATTGGAATCAATCTACACATTCTGAGTATTAGGTCCTCTAAGGGTTATCTGCAGCTGTTTCAGTTCTAACATTCTAAATCTGTCATTCCTCTGGGCTTGTAGCTTGTAAGTTCCTTCCATTCCTGTTTCCTCCTTACTTTTTTTTTTTAAAAAGAGAGAGAGAGAGAATTTTTTAAATATTTATTTTTTAGTTTTAGTCGGACACAATATCTTTGTTTCTGTGTGGTGCTGAGGATCGAACCCGGGCCGCACGCATGCCAGGCAAGCGTGCTACCGCTTGAGCCACATCCCCAGCCCTCCTCCTTACTTCTTCCGTCCTTCTTGAAATGAAATAGCAAATGATGTTTCTCATGTAATCATTTCCCCACATTATAAGTTTATACTTTATTCTTCCGACTTAATTCCTCTCTGATGATTCTTTTTTTTTTTTTTTAAATTTTTTATTGTGGGTTGTTCAAAACATTACAAATTTCTTGACATATCATATTCCACACTTTGATTCAAG